GGGTACGCCGTGGGTGCAACACAGCCGCGCATCTGCCCCCGTGAACGCAAACATCGTAAAGTGTAATACGAAACTCTCGGAAGTTGCCGGTACGCCCTTAAAATGCACAAGGTGGCCCCGATGCCGCCATTCGGCTTATCGCGCGCCGCTCATAATTTTATTCGGCTCAGTATTCGTATTATACCGGTGAAATTTCTCAATCGGAGACTCGAACAAAAGGTTTTTTTTTATATTGGAAACGAAATCGAAGACGGATAGTAGATTTCCCAACAAGAATGTCGAGTTACACCGACCAAAAAATATGAGAAAAAAGCAAATACAAAAGTTTAGTGGTTGTATTTTAAAATTTTGTTTCGAATTCGAATTTTAATTAGCTGTAACTTTTTTTCTAGGGATATCAAAGTAAATAACAAAACAAAAATTTAGGGTTAGGAGCAAAGTTTTTTTCCAACAAAACACTGTCAATTCTCGGACATATAAGCCTACATCATATTTTTTTAAATGCAATATATATGACATTTGTGTATAATTAATTAATCAAGATATTCTATTAAACGCATATATTTTTCTAAAAAAATAACTAAAAATTGACCGTGGTCAATTAACCACTCCTTAATGGACTAGTTTTAAATAACAATTGTAGAGGGTTATCTATCATTATTTAATAATAATATACTACAACCCTAAGAAAATAAAGACACAGTAATAATAATAATAATAATAATAAATATAGTAATAATAATAAAAATAGTAATAATAATATTATTATTGTATATTATTTAGTAAATAATGTTGTATTTTGTTGGTATTGCAAAATTGAATCAACAAAAGATTGTTAACTTTTTTTGGCCAAATTTTCGCAAACCTGGTGCCGATATTAAAAACGACAAAATTTTAAAATTGTAAATAATAAAGAATTTTATGAAATTGAAACCGCAACCGTTTACTTCCTGGCATGCGAACTCCTCGTGCTGCAGCAGGAAGTTCGGGCCCCGGCAAGGGGTCACGGGGTTGCCAGAGATACTATTTTTAAATCCACTTAAACAAGGGGACGAAAGATTTTCGGATGAGGCGTTGCAGCTTTCGGGGATCAAAACTCCCGCGCAGGTTGAAACGTTCTTCGAAAATGGCGCAGTCAACAAAAACCGTTATTATTATCATTAGTACGATGCGTCGTTTTCCCGAGACCTTTTCCACCAATTGCAGCCTCGAGTATGAATATTGATTATTTCAACCGTTTTTATTGCCGCTTTTACGTTTTGTTTTATTGCGGCAAATCGCGCGTTTCGATAAAACATTTACTGCCGAAAGACGTTTGCCGTAACATAAGCGAATTATCTGTCAATGGTCGTAATAGAGAAGCATTGGAAAAATCCTTAATAATATTAGCTACGTTGACGATACTGTTTTGTGAGGATTTACAGAGAATATTAAAGAAAGTAGTGAAAGCTAGCGAAGATTACGGTCTCGACATGAACATCAACAAGACTAAAATGATGGCGATAACAGAAAGGAAGCAAGCAACAGGTCGGCTCGTCGTAGACGAGAAAACAATTGAACAAGTGAGACACTACAAATACCTTGGCACCATAATTAATGAAGACGTTCAACATAAACAGCAAATGCTGGCACGCAGTCTTCATAAAAATGAAAAAAAAAACTATTGACGGCTCCGGACCTATCACTAACGGTAATGGTCAAATGCTGTGTATTTCCCGTATTGCTTTATGGCTTGGAAGGCTGGACGCTGAATAGAGAAACCACAAGGAGGTTGGAAGCTTTTGAAATCTGGCCTTACAGGACGCATGCCGGGAGTCTCGTGGATGAGTAGAACTACAAACGAGTTAGAGTTAGGAAGAATGAGCAAAGAACTCGAAATACTCTTTACCATTAAACAACGCAAATTTGAGGGCATTGTGGAGGGCAAAATTATAGATAGACGAAGTGTAGGGCGCCCAAGAGTCTCTTGGTTGCGCAATCTTCGAGAATGGTCCATCGTCATCAACCTTCAAAGGAGAAGATTATACAGGAAGAATCGTGATACGTGGTATTATTGAAATAACACGGTATCGTTTAATTATTGAAACCGGACCCCACGCTGATGCCGAAACGTTATTTTGTTCGGTCCAAATAGGATAAAAAAATCAATTTATTTTTAAAAACCAACATACGCCGCAAAAAGCAATTTAAGCTATTTATCTGGTAAATGATACATGCCTATGGTACAAAACGTAATGTAACTACAAAGCAGTGTATGGAAAACTTAGATTTTTATTAAAAAATAAAAAATCATTGATTTTTTAAAAAAAAAACATCACTCTCGTAAAAGCAAAGTCATTAATTATTTCAAAAATGTCATGTCCTTTTTGTCTTTTATTGCCAAAATTTGAATTCATGCATATTTTATTTATATTAATCTTTATGATTTTTAGAGACTTATTTTTATTTTTTACGATACATGAAAAAAGTATTTCGTATTCATATCGTATAATTTATGTATCCTAGGAAGGAATGTATTCGGTTTTCAAAAAAATTGTAAATTTAATAAACTACGTTTTTAATGTTTTTATTTCCTCACTCCAGTATTGCTTGACAGTTCTGCCACTACATCGTCTGCCTCGAGTGCAACGAGACTCATGACAGATCTGTCGAGCCTCTGGAAATCTCCCCAGTCTAAACAAAGAAGACAAAGAAAAAGAAAAAAAAACTGAAAAGTACTTTCGTAATGCGAACAGCAACAGCTGAAATCAAAAAGATTGACAAACAAATAGCAAAGGTAATTTTTGCTACTAATTCGAGCTTTCGATGCACTGAAATCTCTATATAAAGGTTTAAAAAACAGTTGCTTTATTTAAAGTTTTATAACCTGCTGCTCTTAAAACTGAACCGATGTAAATAAAAACATGAACCAAAAAAAAAACAAATGGTTCTTAAATACTTCCAAAAATGGATAACGTAGTTATTTCACAGGGTGTTTTAAAATTAAGGCTAGGAAATATCCATTAAATTTACCAATCACTAAAACGCGAATATTTATCAAACCACTAAATACGTGAAGTAAAATTGGTCATTTTAGCAAAAATTTTCTTAAAAAAAAAATCAACCTAAATTTTACTAAAAATTTCAATGTAGCTTTTTTTGCAGCTGAGTGTATAATAATGCTTAAAACATCCAGCTTACGCTATAATTTTAATTATAAGTATTTTGTTTGTATTTATGTTAGGGATGGGGCAGCTGGAGAAAAACTGCAATAGCTTGAATTTGAATTTGTGCTCGTTTAAAGGACAATTTCATTGATCACTTCGAGGGTGCTCTCGAGATAATAAACTATTATAATGATAATAATAATATGATAATTTACAATTTCGAAATAGTCGCCTTCAATAATTTTTTGGATAGCTTTGAGTGCCGGAAAACTCCCATAATACGGATACCGAAATTATTCCGGTTGGTTCGATAGTTTACCCCCACCTCCCCATTGAAAATCGACAATAATAACCCCCTACCCTATACACGACCTATACCCACGTTAACAAATAAAGAGGAGTTTACGCACGCTGACTGGGCACGCATTTAACAACAATTTACCCAAATTTACCGGTCGGACAATGACGTTGACAAACAACTGATGCTAGCCGAAGGACATTAATTCGTTAATTCCATCACGCACCGGTAGAGGGATAATCCCTTAATGGCGGCGCGGCGGGAGGTTCCCAGTGGACGTATTCGATGTGTCAGATCTAATTTGGTTAATATATCAATGCCGGTCAGTGTTAAGGGTCGGTAGCGAATAATGTCGCATTTATATACGCTGGCAAATTTCTCGTGATTTAATGGGCGGTCTTTCTCCAACAGTTTTAGGATAGCGATAGCTAATTTGCATACGAGCATTTTCACCTAACTTCGAACAGTCGTATTTATACGGTTGCCGATACCATGACGCATTCTGCCTACAGCCTTCGCTAAATTTTAGGACTGGGAATAACTTTAGACAAATAATGACCTTCATAAATATCGGAAACAACAAGTTTATAAATATTAGTTTTAGTTGGCGTAAGGAAAACTGTTTAAATAAATATAATTATATATATAAATAAAACAAACAAATATTAAAATATATATAAGATAAATTAATATTTCAATTTTAATTATACTAGAATTAAACAAAATAAATAAGAACCAAAAGTTCATATTTTCACATGACAATTGTTTCGACAACATCGTGTGTTAATTCACGTTGTTGTGAGAATTTAAGGTTAATAATGGAGAGGTATTTAAATATAATTGATCGTTAAGCAATACACATAAATAGAGTTTACTGTTGTCTGGATTTGTTTTTTATTTATAATGTTATAGATAAAATTATAAATAAAAAACAAATCCAGACAACAGTAAACTCTATTTATGTGTATGATATCATGATATGATATCATGGACCTGAAAGCAAGCGCGAAGCATGTCGAAAGAAACGGTATCCTGTTTTTTCAGGAGAACTGGCCACGTAACAACTGTTTCTTTGGTGAAAGGTAAACCAGTCAACTCTGAATGGTACACGACCATTGAAATTAGAAAAACCAACCCCCGAAGACGAATCACTGTCCACGACGACAATGCCAGCACTCACCGATCAGTGCAAAAAAAGAACTTTTTGAGCATTAAAAACGTTGATTTGATGAGCCATCCACCATATAGTCCTCATCACATTAAGAATAAATTACGTGGGCAACGATTTTTGACACCAAAAGAAGCGATTGATGCATGTTTTGGAGGTGCCTGCCTCGATGTGGGAAAAGTGCTTGGTAGCTTAGAGTTTTTTATTACAAATCCAGAAACGTCAGAGGAGTACCCTCTAACTTCGTCAGTAATCCAAACTGTTGATCTGCTTTTTGAAGACGCACTGTATACCTCCGTAATTACGTCATTTTGAGATCGCGGCCCATATTGCGTGGCCGCTACCGCTCCACGTCCGGGAGATAGTGTAACAATAGCCCACGGTCAAGTATCGAACGTGTCGCGATTTTTTTTTATGGTCGTAGGTGGTCTTGCACGTGCCACATTGACGAGGAGGTGGGAGCCGATGATAGCGATAGCGCTCGTCGGGCATATTGTTCGGTTAAATGTTCCACTCGATACTGATGATCGGCGGTGCTCGGTGAGATACGCTGATGTTCTTATTAACCTCGAAGGGCTTTTGTAATTGTATACGAAGGGCTTTGTCTTGCGATTTTTGGGCCCCCTAGGGGGCGACATTTTTTTTTATTTTAATAATAATATACACAAGCCCTTAAGTACACAGAAAAAGACATAAATTTATACACCATATAAAAAAATTACATCCTATAATGTTGTAGTGTATGGTACCCTTCGAAGCAGCCACTATTGAATAGTCAAAGCAAGTGTCACAGTTTCCCGCCTGCTGCTTTGTACTTTACGATTAGACCATACCGCGCAGTCTTTTTTCTTTCCATCATTTTGACGTAAAATATGTAATTTACCGTTTAGCCGCTATTCTGTATCCACGGACGATGGTCTGCCAGTAATGTTGTACCCCTGTCGAAAGTTTTTTGTCATCTCGCCAATCAATTCCCGTACAAACTTTAGATGTGTTGTTTTGCTAATGTATAACTTTAGAAGGAGAAACGATATACTACTACTATTATACCACTCTCTGTAACATACTTTCGATTTGAGAATATGGTTGTGCCGTATGCTCAATGTTAGAAAATATAAGTCTATAAAATAATTTTTAATGTAATAAGTTTGATATCTCCAATTTCAAAATGCTTTTGAAATATACTTCCAATTATAATATATAATCGTAATCGTTTGATTTGAGTTGATGGCATATCCTGGCTGCACGAAGCCTGACGAAGTGTAACCAATGGTCATACGACCTTCATTGTAGTTTCAGTTTTTACCGGTGTAAGGTGAAAGGGTTGTGGAACAATAAATATGGAAGACACATTGAAAGGTTGGGGACTTCCGGAGTCCGTTAGAAAAGTATTGAAAGGTGTGTATTTAGAACACTATATACCTACATTTACTACCTACATCTTTTAAATATTTTATAGGGAGTAGGGATTTTTCCCAAATATGTATGTTCTTGGATACAGTACCGGCAATTGTTTTTATTTTTTTACAAAATTAGGTACAGACCAAAAAATCTCACGACACAGTGTTGAAGTAGTGGCTTTTCAAACTCTTGACTGGAACCTTCGGCACTGTACTAACGCACAATAACGCGTTTTACCACAAACCGTTTTAACTGTTTTAATCTTCTCCTGAAGATGCCAACTTGGTTGGCGAAACGCGCGTCGAGTACGTCAAATTGAGTTTCGGTTTGTGGTAAAACGCGTTATTGTGTGGTAGTGGCTTTTGTTGATGTATTTAAAGCTAGGAAAGAATGTGTGCGACAATTTTGTTTAGATTAAGTATGGTTCTTAAAAATGGTTGAACCTCATTCTCTGCCGTATATTATTATTTTTTTCCAATAGCTTCCCGGGTATTCTGCGGAAGCCAGAATCCTCCAAGAATTAAAATACCATTTCATTGTCTCAAAGATTGAGACGCATTGCAAAAACTTTTGTTGTTTTTCACTATGTTTTAGCTGTAAGCTTGTGAAGCTAAAGAAGCTATTGTGTTTTCTGTAGACTTTCTTTGCATGAATCCATACTGATTTTTAGTGAAAATTTTGTTTTCCTCTAGAATCTGGACAAACGTTTCTTTAAGGACCGTCCCAGAAATGCAAACTGGATAAATAAAAATGCGGAAAAGTGGAATGAACTAATCAATTTAAATTCAATTAAACTAAATTAAAATTCAAAAAAATTCAAAAGATCAAATATCAGAACATGTTTCGATGATACTATTAAAAACTTTTATTTATTTTTTTTTTGATTTTTTGTTGCACTTTACTAATCGCCAATGCGACCAGGTTTAGACTTCTCTTGAGAAAATTCAGAAAAACATTATTAACTTTTTGAATTATAAGTTTAATACAGTTCGCCACAACTGGGCTTACGAGGTCAATTTGCAGTTTTATGGAGTGTACATTTCGATATTTGTTTTGTCCTTAAATGCTTAAACAATCAGGTAGACTGTAATGAGATTTTACAATTTTTCTGCCTAAATTGCAGCCCGTCATGCTTCATAGTAGAGTTATTTTTGACAGAACTTTTGACATCTTAAACGAGAGTTACGATTTAGTCTTATTTTTCTAGGTGTGTATGTTAACTTTGTACCCTCATTATGTAGATAACTTATATTGCTATTGCTACTGGATATTCAGTAGCTTAAAAAAAAATTAAATCACTGTAATGGTTGTTATGTTATAATATTTAGGATGATTATGCTGTTATGACTTTTTGTACGTTTATTTGTCAAATTACTTATCGATTTGTAATAATTTGTACTTTGGAAGAATTTCAAATTTTGAAACGCTTTTCTCGTGTCTAGGATACGGCAAACAGGTCGTATGGGGTGGAAAAAATTCGTCAGATAATGTGACGCGGTGGCAACTGCGAACGAGGATAAACACAGACAGGAAGATGCCACGCCACCACACACGTGTCGCGGCTTCTCTCTCGCATCTGTCGCGGTTATTCTCACCTTTCGTCCCGATTCGGATCGAACAGCGATTTCCTGCTTCGCACCCGCCCACGACTATTATAAAAATCTGCGAAGTTTCTGAAACGTTTCGATTTTGGCACACCACGAGCCAAAGGATATTTTTACAATTTGATCCCACGAAAATGTCCGTCCGTATGCGAATTGGGGCGTCAAAATGGTTGACAAATGGACGACAATTATTATAAAGTGAGGATACACCCTGTATAAAGTGTGTGCGCGAATGTTTGTGCCAGTAAATGCGATTCCAATAATACAATCTCGCCGTTTTTCATTTACCACCAATAATTTATACGAGAAAAAGGAAATTTTTAACATTTTTAAAGATTTTGTGCCCCAAAATAAGTAGACGTTGCCCTGGATATTTCACGTTTCACGGCCTTATTTTTCACTAATTTTGATTTGCAGCGAATAATTTACTCAATTTCAGACTGGCACAGACGTGCCAGAAGCACATCAGCCATTTATATTTTAAGTATACAATACAAAAGCGGTAAGCTGCATGTTCCGACTGTAGGCTGTCGACGACTTCGAGGTCACCTGATAATTCGGGTGTATTTTTATCAATCTGCGACGCTTAAAACCTCGTCTATTTAAAAAACGATAAAATATATTTTCTTATCCAAAATATTTGGTAGTCTGGACGATTTTATTTGAGTAAGAGTTTTTGATCCTATAAGTCTTATTTTCATTCCCAAAAAGTGATAATGTTAGGGTCGTCTCCAACGATCATCATCATCAAAAAAATAATAAGTATATATGATACAAGTATTGTCGGCAAACGCTTAAATTTTACAGAAAGTTGATTTTAGAATATCCGACGTATACACAAGAAATAACAGAGGAGCTGGATCACTGCGATTTGAACACAAAGGAGAGACAATAATATAAAAGTCAACTTTAATTAAGTAAATTTTTAAATAATTAATTAATACCAGAGAGAGTAGATGGGACAACGTAAAACCAAAAATTATATCCTTGGATGATAGTGATAGCAGAGATCCAAACTATTCTGGGGACTAGTTTTATTTAATCTGGTATTTATTATTTATATAATTACAATTATGCAGTAAAGTAACATAATCATTGCTAACATCAAGATTAAGAAACTCTTATACTTACGAGACATCCTAAAACATACAACATCCAGCATTTGATCGTTCAGCGGTAAATATAGCCAACATGATTGCTAATAGTCGGCACAAAACGGATATGGCACATCAAGAAGAAGAAGAAGAAGAATACAACAGAATGAATTCGTACTCTTTTGTTTCAATTTCCTTATCACTATCGTGGACCTAGGAACGGATAAAAACGTTAAAAACCATTATTACAGTCATGACCATTTATCCTGCATCGCACGGATGCCACGTCCCGTTTTAAAGAACTCTTTTACACGAACTTTTGCTCGATATCCGTGCAAAAACTAGCGGACATACGGCGATCTAATTGAAAGCCTCGATATCGTCAAACGCAATTATTCCGTGAACGCATGCGTACCTACTTATGAATTAACCATAAGCGAAAAACCTCTTTTTGTTCGCGGCGAAGACACGCAACTCACTTTTCGAACTATAGTACTGTCTGCTCCAGACAACACATGTCCACTTTCATCCGCGTTTCGTGCGAAGCGGCGCTGCTGCTTTTTTTTTTCAGTATGGAAATATATTTATGGTTTTTTTCCTCTCTATATGGATTACGACCGTGTAATAACGCTCCTCGGGCCTTTGCATTTTCATTATAAGGCAATCTTTGATTATCTAATTAGAGCACGAACCAAGTATCCGTGTCAAACACGACATTTCGCTCACTGGTTTGACGTATAGCGTCTACCGGTATATACATATGTAGTCGCTTTGCACAGGGTGTAACAATCCGGTAAGTTCGTTGGTCGCGTACAGTGACCGTTGGTAATATGTACCGGGTGGGCACTTTATTAGAAGAACTACTGGTTTTAAAAAAAAAGTTTATACAAAAGTTTCATGATTTAAATTAAATTTGAAAAATATTTTTTTTTTATATATTTTGACATTTTTTCGAATTTTATGTACTTTAGACAGAAATTGAGATTATATATTTTTTATGAATAATATTGTTCTTCAGAGGCATGATCAAATTTTAAACACATTTTTAGAAGACTTTCCTCTAACGATCTGCGATGACTAGGTATTTTAAAATTATACAGGGTGTCTTAAATTAAAGGACTTTTTTGTAAGTAAGGTAACACAGAGATTTATTACAAATTATTTTACATCAACGATGTAAAATAATTTGTAGAATTTTGATAATAAACATAATGTAAATTTCAATCAAAATCCACTAACTGTGATTATCTGCACCTCAAATGCAAACATTAAAATAAAAAAAAAACTAATTTGTAATTAAATTTTCAAAAACATTTTTCTCGAAAACGGTGTGTTCTAGCCAGGTGCTACAAGGGTACCTTATTTACGTAGAAAACGTCAGATTTTCAAATTCTGCAGTCCAAATTACGAAAATTCCCCTGAAGACAATCCAATACTAAGTTTTACTTCGTTAAATACACCCTAAAAAGTTTAGTAACTCTACCAAATTTTACGCAAAAATATTTACGTGTTTCGAAAATATCACCTCTTCAAATTTAACACCCTGTATGTAAAAAGTTAAGACGTCTTGGACCCTAGTTTATATGAGCCTTTATCCTTATTTTGGGGGACAGCCTGTATACTATAGCACGGTTGATTGTATCGGGCTATATTCTAAAGACGTTGTATTTTGTTTATATGTCGTAACCACAATTCGCTACTAAAAATCTGCTTAGATATTTAATTTAATTTAGAGTCATACTTTAAAACTGTCGACTTAAGAGATCTTACATATTTACTTAAATATTTTTTTCACTATCTCAATTGCAGAATAAATATTTAATGGAAAATTTATGCCAGTTCGTTTCCTTAAATAAAGTTATCTCTCTGTCTTGCGTTTTCGGTACGCGCGGTACATCTTGGCGGTGTGGCCGGCCGCTTCTTTGTATTAACGCGGACGTGTGCGGGGGCGGTCTCATGAGTCACGTGCCGTGGGCGCCGGCGTCGTCGGGTAACTTCCGTCGCCGGCTCACCCGGGCTTACCACGTAGACGACGCCCATATATATGCGAATACCGATCACCATGACCATCCCCTGCAGATGCGAGATCGAAATCTGAAGCCGCCCGATCTATACCGATACTTTACAGACCTGTAATATGATTCCTGGTAATTGTTCACGCGTACTACTAGTCCGCTCTTGACGAGGGAATATGCCTATTAGTTTTAGGTGGCAAATGGCTTCTGTAGTACGTGTTTGATACAGACCACCGGTCGTCGACTTAATGGCTCAATAGAATAAAGAAGGATCTTATGAAAAACCTCCGAAAATTAAGTCTTTTACTGTTTGGACACGCATATACCGGGTGGTCGTAACTGGTGTGTTTTAAAAGGAAATACTAGAAAGATACATGTCAAGGACTCTGAAGTTTCTCATAAATGAATTTAACTTTCTTGTTACTTTCGAAAATCGATTAAATCGAATTTTTTGAAAGCATCTGCGCTCGTATAAAAATTTTATATCTCGGTAAGGGGATCGCCGTTGGTACAGAAATGATCACCGTCGAAAAAATTTTTTTTTGTCTGTCCGTTCTCCGTTCTCGTCTTTTGGTTTTTCCTGAATAACCTTCGAACAGTTAGCGCTACAAAATTAAAATCTGCCTCCTTTTTAACCCTCCACGAGGCACATAAGCTTATAGGAAATGGCCCCGATGCTACGCCGGTATTCATCTTTTTTTTTGCGATTTTCGATTGTTTTTTGGACCTTGCTATGAAACACGTGAAGCGTTCGAAATTTGAAACAATCGACTTCATATTTGGCACATATATGCAGCTTTGCCTCGTGACGGAACCTATTGAAACGGGTGGGGCTGGGGGGTCAGGAAGTATTCTACAAAAAACATCATTTTTCAAAAACTGTTTGCGAGACCAAAAAAATTTTCGAAAAAAAAGAAGCAGAAGATACGGCTCTATAAACTTTTATTCATGACAATTTTTCAAAAATATGCAGGGTGCACGGCAAATTCAATCTGATCATTTCTGTACCAATGTACCATAGGACCTACCGTTACCGAGATATAAAATTTTTATACGAGCGCAAATACTTTCGAAAAACTCGATTTCATCGATTTTTCCAAAATAACAAAATACAATAATTTTCTTCTAGCGACATGCTCGTTTAAGATATCAATGGTTCCGGCATTGAAGTTTTTGGTGAATCGTTGAGGTAATCTAATCAGACAACTTTCAAGTTCCACATAGATTTTCTCACGGATCTGCGTTCTCCTTTTAATAAAAACCAGTATTTAACTATTTAGCCATTTAACACACACACGCACATCCTTAAAGATTTTTCACATATATGAAGGAGAGAGAAAATATTCGAAAATTGTAAAGTACAGTTTTGAATATGAATAAATTTTTGCGCCATAACCCGAACGAATGCGCCAAAAATTGGCTTAGAACCGGCACTACATACTACTTAATGGGAATTATACAGCATGCAATACAACAGAATGTTTGGTGTTTCAATTTTTCGTACTACTACCTTGGACGGGTTTGATTTGTTGATCATTTATGGTGTGTCGGACCATACCAACGGCTTCTCCGAAAACACCACCTCTAAGGCTAGCGAATAAATATTTTCAAAATGTGATAGAATTTTGATGAAGATCCAGCATCGAGCGTTTTCCACCCCCTGAGAGATACGCGCGGATGTTGAAGACTCTCAAGATGGGACCGCGACAGCTGGCTTGCGGAACACCCGCAAATACACCTGCCCAAACATGCGCCCAGGGCGGCGCACGCGCGCCCCCTACGTTCGTAAACCGCCCGCCCGTTTTATCAAATGGCAATAGAAATAAAAGATAGGAAAGTAAAAGGCGGAATTATAATAAAAAGATCCTGCTTAACCAGGTTTGATTTACAACGTGGAAAATACGAGCAGACCTCGTTTGTTGTATCAGTGGCGGATTTCCTGGGGCGGTGGATTTATAAATATGTATTTTAAAAATTATCTTCCTTATGCAACTGGCGGGGTAGATTTTAAAAAGTGCGACGTGAATTTTAACAAAATTTTGAATTAGAAAAGTTCGCGTGGATTATGGAATATATTCCATATGTTTTTGATTTTGTCAATTTTTTAACCAAAGATCAGGTGTTTTTTTAAAATA